CAAACCCTTATTCTTGAAGGTGGCCCAACTAAATAAAACAATCACCCAAAACAATAAGCCTAATAATTATAGTTTAAAAATCAAATAAAACCCACAACCCTAAACAAAATAGTTAACTTAAACTCTAAAACCCAAGAATAATAATTCAAAGAAAAGTAGAATTTATGAAGGAAAATCCTAAAACCCCTGAATTTAAGATTTTACTAAAAATCTCCTACACAGGTCGAGAACTTAAATTATCTTAATCCAATGAAATTAGACTTAATTCTAATTTAGCCAAAAATTAGAATTTCAAAGTTAGAAAATCTAAGAATTAAAGTTATCAACTTAGGGAAAAATCCAAAGACACTATTTATCTCTTAAAATAAACGAGTCAGAGAACGCGGGGCGTTACAGACGAGTTCCATGGCCTCGTGGGCAATGATTGGGGCGGTTACATCACTATTGGGTGTCGAGGCTCCAGGAGAAAAAGGTCGGGGGTCGGCAGACCAGTCTCTGTAGATATGAGTGTCGAGGCTCTGGGGACAAAAGGTTGAGGGTTGGTATGATGAGTCTATTTGAAGATAAGTATTGGGTCTTGACGTGGTGGTAGTCAAGGACCAATACGCTGAGTAGTTGTCGAGACCTTAGAAAAAAATGTCAAGGGTCAATGCACAATTTAAGGCCTTGGGGATAAATGGCAAGGTCAAATGCTAAGCTTCGGTGGAGGAGTGTCGGAAACTTGGGGATAAATGTCAAAGGCCGATACGATTCGAAGAGTTAGACTTGGAGGACTAACATGGTGTGTTGATGGGTTTAGAAGTATCTTGAAGGAGCCGAGTTTGAAGCCTTGGGAATAAATGGCAAGGTCGAACGCCAAGCTTCTGTAGAAGAGTGTCGGGGCCTTGGGGATAAATGTCAAGGACCGATACGATTCGAAGAGTTAGAGTTGAAAGACTAACATAGTGTCATGGGTAAAAGTAGCTTGAAGAAGCTAAAGACCGGTGGGCCTTATGACTGAAGTTACGTGAGTCATGATATTTTGGATGCTTGTGTGTGCTTATTGATTAATTGTTATGACCTATCAATGAATGATTTCTAGTTATCGTATTTTGATGATTTATGTGATTATAGGCATGCTGTTTTGTGTATAGTTAGTGAGGGCTACTAGCGGTCTTGTGGTGGGGGTTACTTGATTGCATGTGTGGATTAATGAGTGTTATGAGTTATTGATGCATGAATGCCAGTTTGCCGAGTATGTTGTTTGTGTGTAGTTAAAGAGGGCTACTTACGGAGTATTTTTAATACTCACCCTCCTTCTAAAATTATTGTTTTCAGATGAAGATCAGGTTCATAGTGATGGTGATGGTGCAGAGGAAACTCGAGAAGAAGGACCATTGCTAGATTCCGTTTAGTGTTAACTTGTCTAAAATAGGTTGTTAGGAGTTCTTGTTGAATTAGTTTATGTCCTCCGTTATGAGCATTGACTTGTCTAAAGTTCAGAGGGTTAATAGAATGTTTTAGAGGACTTATCTTTTTAGTCTGGATTCCTGTAAAGATTACGTACTTGGTTTCATTGAGAAGCTTAGGGAGTATGTTTAATGTTATTGAATTTGCTAACTTGGATAGATTGAAGCATTGATTAATTGTTTTGGTTTTGGTATATTATCGGAGTGGCGCAGTGGAAGTGTGGTGGTTTGTATTTGCTTAGTTGATTCGTTATTATCTTGTAGGGTTATGTTTTTGTCGAGTAGGTTGTTTGCCTATCGTCCTTTACTTGATTTAACTTGGCTTGACTTAAACATGAGAGTTAGGTGTCACTTGTCCACAGAGGGCAAGTTGTTTCGTCCATTTGATAAGTGAAGTGTTCACAAGTTTGAGTTGAGTAAATAAAAAGCTGAATTATCTAGGTCAATTTGGTGGCATTATGCCTTGGGAGGAAGTTTGGAGATCGTAAGCCTGGTAATGTTGCCCGTGTAAGTTATCAAATTTGGGGGCGTTACAGTAAAAATCCAAATGCATAATTTAAATCTTAAAATAAAAATAACTCAAAAACTCGCGGCGTTACAAACTACCCACCTTAAAAAAAAACTTTCGTCCTCAAAAGTTGATTGGCTGCACTACTCTAAACGTCGGGGCGTTACATTATCGTTCTCAAGCAAAAAATAAAGAGGTTTAGAGATTTTCGAAAAGTCCTTAATGAATCTACGATAGGACCCAGCGTGCCCTAGGAAGCTTTTGATGCCCTAGACATTTAAAGGGGGGGAACTTCTCTATGCCTCTATCTTTCCCTTGTTCACTTCAATGCCGTTTCTGGAGACTCTATGCCCTAGCACAATTCCTTCCTATACCATGACGTTACACTTCTTCCAATTCAAAGCTAAATTTATTTCTTCACATCTTTGCAACACCTTCGTCAGATTTTCCAAGCACTCTGTAAATGACTTTCCAAACACCAAAAAATCGTCCATAAACACTTCGACCATTGATTTCACCAAGTCAAAAAAGATAGTCATCATACACCTTTAGAAGGTTGTTGGGGCATTGTAAAGCCCGAATGGCATCCGTCTGAAGGCAAACGTCTCGTTGGGGCATGTAAATGTCGTATTCTGCTGCTCTTGAGGGGCTATCGTAATCGAATTATACCGACTGTAGCCATCTGAAAAATAATTATATTTCTGAACTACCAGCCTGTCCAGCATTTGATCAATGAAAGGGAGACGGAAATGGTCCTTCTTTGAGGCTTTGTTTAGCTTGCAGTAGTCCATGCATATTCGCCATCCTGTCACTGTACCAGTGAGAATCAACTCGTTTTTTTAATTTCCACTACTGTCATGGTCCCTTTCTTAGGCACACGTGTATCGGGCTTACCCACTCGCTGTCTGAAATGGGGTATATAATGCCTACATCTAGCCGTTTGATAATCTTCTTTTTCACCACTTCTTTCATTGCTTGGTTAAGTCTACGCTGGGGTTCTATAGAGTTCTTGCTTTCTTCCTCCAGTACAATCTTATGCATACAAAAACTGGGGCTTATTCACATCTATCGGCAATGGTCCACCCAATTGTTGTCTGATGGGCTTTCAGCACATTTAACAACATCTGCTCCTTCTCCATAAACAGGTCTGTTGCTATGATGATTAGCAATGTCTCTGACAAACCTAAGTAGGCATAGTTCAAATGTTGTGGCAATGCCTTAAGCTCCAAGATTGGCGGTTGTTTTATAGATGGCTTCAACAGTTTGTATTCACGATTTGCAAGGTCTAGGGACTCGTGCATGCACTTAACTGACCTTTCACTGCTGTTCGTCCTTTCTAGGTATATAACCTCAGGATCTTCTTATATATCATCAACATCACTTCTAGAGTGAACAACTTCCAAATGCTATAGGATTGCTTCTTCTTCCAACTTTTCCATTAATGCTTCATCTAGAATCTTAAGCACTTTGCATTCTTCTGATTCAATAGAGAACTTTATTGAGTCATACACTGAGAATTTCACTTCCTGATCTTGAACTCGCATTGTCAGCTCCCTTTTGTGGACATCCACCAATGCTCTCCCTGTCGCAATGAACGGTCTTCCAAGGATGATAGAGACCTCCTTAAAATAACAAAGTCAGTAGGGAAAATAAATTTATCTACTTGTACCAGGACATCATCAATTTTTCCCTCTGGATGTGTGCTGGATCGATCAGCAAGCTGCAAGGTGACTGTGATGGGTCTTGCTTCTCCTATTCCTAGCTTGTTGTAAATGAACAGAGGCATAAGGTTGATGCTGACTCCAATATCACACAGTGCGAGCCCTATCTTCTATCCTCTAATAGAAACCAGTATGGTAAAGGTCTCAGGGTCCTTCATCTTTGCTGGAATCTTGCTTGTGAGGATAGGGCTGCAAGCTTTGGTCATTGCCACCGTTTCGTATTCTCCCTGCTTTTTCTTCTTTAGGAGTATCTCTTTTAGGAACCTCACATAATTTGGAATTTGCTTTAAAGCTTCCATCAACGGTATGTTCACATGCAATTGCTTTAGCACATCTAAGAATTTCTTAAACTGATCATTTTGCTCTTTCTTCTACAATCGCTTGGGGTACGGTCGTGCTGGTCTGTAGTCTGCCGGAGCATTATCATGCTCTACTTGCTTTCTTTTCTCGAGCACTCTAGCCTGTGATTATCCTACAATAGATACTTTAACATTCACTGGATTGACTTCCTCACTGGTAGTATTCTGAAATTCCCTTGGTTACTCAACAATCTACACTGATGCAAATGATCCTTCAAATCGCCTCTGTGCTGCTACCTGACCTTGATTCGAGAAGCCTGGCGGATAACTCCTTTTTTGTTGATATGCTAGAGCATTGGATGTACCAGGATTGTTCCCTCCATGATTCCCACTCCAACTAAAGTTAGGGTTGATCCTCCAACCCAAGTTGTACGTATTAGAGCATGGATTGTTTCTACTATTTTGTAGATTCCCCAAGTAGTACACCGACTCGAGATTGTCAGAGCAATTATTATAATAATGATGTCCTTCGTAGAAATAACAAGAAATCCCTTGGATGTGGCTAACATTTGCCTTGTCGGCCGATGCTCCCACTGCACTTTGATGTGTCATGCTTCTCATCACTAAGTCTGTCAGATTCTCAAATTCGAGTTCAGAGTAGAGTACAATTCAGATTCGTTCAGTCCATTGCTTCGTCTCCCTTAAATAACTTTAGGGTTAGACCATGAATGGTTGTTGGACGATATCCTTTCCAAGATGTTGAATGCTTCAACATAAGGTTTTGCTAGCAAAGCACCATTTGCTGACACATCGATGACCAAACGCGTCGCATCGTCCAAACCATTTTAATACGTATCGATCTATATACATCTTGGAATCTCGTCGTGAGGGCATTTTTGCATAATTCGTTTGAAACGCTCTCAAGATTCGCTAACTGACTCCACAGCAAATTGTTGAAAGTTGTTGATTTCGCTTCAATATTTAGCATTTTTGCTGGGTGGGAAGTACTTCATCAAAAAAATTTCGTCTATGTCGTCCCAGCTCGTAATTGATTCTAATGGAAATGATTCCAACCAGGTTCTCGCTTCATCTCTGAGTGAATAAGGGAACAACTTAATTTGTAGCACTTCTTTGCTACATCTTTCATCCTTAAATGAATTGCAAACTCGCATAAAAAACTTCAGATGCGAATGTGGGTTCTCAATAGGATGTCCATGAAATTGACCCACTGTCTAGAGCATCTGAAACATTACCGGCTTGAGTTTAAACTTGGGGGTTGCAATTTTGGCTCCGTGATTATTGGGTTGAAATTATAAAATGTCGGAGATGCATATGCCCTGATTTCTCTTTCGATTTCATCTGCTAGTAATACAACATTGAGAGCATTGCTACCTCAGGGTCAGCAGTAATAGGAACCCCGTCTACTATTTCTCAATCCTCACATTTAGTGGAACGGGCTGGCATAAAGGTGGGTTAGGCGGATTCATAGTTGCTTTAGCTTGGGCTCTCCTTTACTATCTTCGATTTTAGTGAAACGTGCGTTCTATCTCGTGATCTATAATATATTCCAAGCATTCAAAATCGTTCATGCACCTACAACCACACAAAAATGTGAGAAAGAGAAAACTCGATTAAGCTATGTATCCACAAATACTATTGTTTAACAATGCTAGATACACGTGCAAGTATACACGATATATGCCGATTGTAGTACGAAATGAGGTCGAATCCACAGGGACTTGGGAAAATATTCTAAACTGTGCTTGAAGATTCCAAAAGTACCAAAAAAATAAAATATAGTTGATTGTGTCAAAAATAAAGAACAATATCATAACAAAGCAATAAACGATCTCAGCAGCGAATACACTTTAAAATGTTGACAACAGGAAGAAGTTACAGTACAGAATAACGAAATAATGGTTAAACAGATATGGAAAAATGGGGAAGACATAACATGCTTTCACTCAATCTCAACGTACACTCTAGCACGAAATCAGTTGTTAAAAATCAACTTGACATAGTTCCCTTCCGAGACACTCAAACATGAATACCCACAATTCTCATTGCTAAATATTAAAGCAATAGACGTAAGTTCTAAGCATGATTAGGGGACTCCATTCTTGAGTATCCACGACTCTACTAGATAAGAGTAGCTAATATAAAATAGAGCAAGTCAGCAACCCGTAAGCCCTTCCGAATCATACAAGCACTAGCATACAAAACAGAGTGCCAATAATCTTCAATAAGGATTAAGAAATAAACACATCTTTATTTATTAACAACAGAAATCAGCTAGAGTTTAGTTGTTCATCAGTTACAGCATGTAAATCTCTTCCAAAATGGAGTTTAGCTCATGGAGGAAGAAGAAAATACAATAGGTAAAGAAAGGTTACAACCCATTTCAAGTAAAGAGAAGAAAACTAAGAATGGAGATGACAGCTCAAAGCAGCAGCTAAATATCCCTCTCTATCGTAAGCTCTTCCCCGAAAATGGTGACATTCTTCGTCCTTGTCTTTTCCAACACTAAAAAATGTGTCTCTATTGGGATCTGCGTGTGTCGACTAGGTCAAAATGTCTCTTTTATATCGGGTCCCAATTTTGGGCCACCCAGTTGGAGGTTGTATGGACAAGGTAACTTATTGGGCATCTGGGACAGTTACTAAGCTATAAATCCATGCTCTCGCTATTCTTTGCTCCTGCTCTTATTTGCTCTGCCTTGAACATGCTTCATCTACTTCTTCCTGGGCTCACGTTTTCATCATGCTTTGTCGTCTCTGTACAAACGTATGCAATTAAGACAAAAAATAAGAGGGTTTAGCAAAATTTTTAGCCACAACATTCAAGAGAAGGGACTTTAGCTCGAGTTCTATTTCTAAGATTATTCTTGATATTTAACAGCTAAAATCGACACACTTCGACATTTCTTTGTATAAAATCACCAAAATAAACACTAGAATAACTCTCTTTTAGAGAATTATCAATTCTCTAGTCACTTAAATGAACCTTATTTTTCTATTATGTCGGAAAAGAAAAGAGGTTGGAAGAAATATATTTTTTGGTGTTTGAGAACTAAATTAATAACTACTCAAGAAAGACAATAAATGCTAAAACAACCAATCTAAAAATATAGACATAACATAAACAACAAAATAAGAAAGTACGGTCCAACTAGACGAATCCCCAATTCCCATGTATGCTGTAATAAGTATTATAGCATGCTACGAATTGCACTGACGTGTAAATCTAGATAATAAACTCCACTTACAACCTTTCTCAAGAGTCCAATATAGAGTGATTATTAAACAGTGTCATATGTCACCTTCCTTTCTATCATTTTACCCATAATATTTTACAAACTAAAGAAGTTATCTCTTGATCAACTCCGTTAATTTGTATTCCTTAATTCAACTTTTGAAATTAATCTCTCAGACTCATTGTGGTATATGCAATTGATCAGTTTAAATAAACATTATAAATATGCGAGGAATCAAGAAAACACCAGGTCAATGTGATTAAAAAAAAAACTACAACATCATCATGACATAAAGGAAAAGATTCATTGTCTAGCTAAACCTTTAGAGGTTTAGGTTATAACCATTGTTTCAAGCCGTGAAAAATAAATAAAAACAAATGAGAGAATAAAATACAAAACACAAAGAAAACTTAGATGTGAAGGACGCTAAAGGTCGCCTATCATCGAACCCAATCTTCCTCTTTGCTTCAGCATTGCGTGGAGATTCCCCTCTTCAATGACTACTGTCTTAATTGTTAGAATAGTGGTTGAACAATGGATAAAAGATATTATTTTTTTCCATTTCTCCTCTTCTTCTCTTCGTCTTTTTTTGGTAGCTCTCGTCGTATTTTCTATTATTGTCTGTTTCATAGGGTTAGGAGTTTCTCTTTTTATAACATTCAAACTTGGCTAGCAGGTTAACTCAGAATAATAAATTTAGAAAATACTTTCCTTTTCTGAAACAAATAGAATTCTTAATTCCCAGATCCGTGTTGCTGTGTTTTATCGAAGTGCTACAAATTGATCACAACATTTTTCACAATCCTACAACATATGCCATAGCCTTGTTTCTCACTGATACAACATAGGTTACAACATTGTTTCGTTGAATCACTAGGAGACTAGCATTGTCTCGCAGTGTTACAGCATAGGTCACAACATTGTTCCACATAATCACCAGGAGACTACACGGCTTCTTAATGCTACAACATTTTATGGCACACTTCGTTCCCATTGCATGATGACTCTCACTATTGTTCCAGCATTGCTTAGCGCAACATCACATATAAGAAGCTACTAGTATAAGAATTCAACAAAAACATAGCAATTTCTCTTAATGTATGAAATCTCACAAAACATTCTAAGTTCCAGAGATACTTTATTTATCTAACTTATTCCACCAAAACTCTTATTTTATTTGGAAAGCAATAGACTAAATAGGAAAACAAATAGCTTTTATCATCAAGTAGAGTGAATCTCATGAAGTTGATACGGGAATCTGACTTACAAATAAATTACATAAGACCCTAGACATAGGACCTCTTGCTCGTAAAACAGAACGTTGATTAGTACTCTTCAGGTCTTTTATTACCCATTGACATATGTGAAGTAGTTTTCAACCTGAGCTCTTAAACAACTAAAAGTTGGTTTGTGATAAGAAGAGTACCTTGTTTGCAGTAAGTCAACTGATAGTATCGAGTGTTACTTGTAAATCTTGCGTTTTTCCGTTCATAGCTAAGGTATGCAGTAGATGGATTGTTTTTAATTGATATTTTATTCAATTCAAGACCAATACAACACACCATATCTTCCTTTGTTACCGAAATAACAGATTGCTCACAAAAGCTTTTCACAATTTATTTTAATGAAAGTCTTGGTGGAGACTAGCTCGGAATACTATTTCCCTGTATTACATTACATGGGGTAGTGAGCACTTGCATTAACCTTTTATCGATAAAGGTAGAACTGCGACAACTTTAAAAGAGAC